GGGTGAGAACCTCCTTCCCTCAGCCAGGGCATTGAAAATGGGTCGTGGATGGGTATTCCAGCATGACAATGACTCAAAACACACGGCCAAGGCAACAAAGGAGTGGCTCAAGAAGAAGCACATTAAGGTCCTGGAGTGGCCTAGCCAGTCTCCAGACCTTAATCTATAGAAAATCTGTGGAGGGAGCTGAAGGTTCGAGTTGCCAAACGTCAGCCTCGAAACCTTAATGACTTGGAGAAGATTTGCAAAGAGGAGTGGGACAAAATCCCTCCTGAGATGTGTGCATATCTGGTGGCCAACTACAAGAAACGTCTGACCTCTGTGATTGCCAACAAGGGTTTTGCCACCAAGTACTAAGTCATGTTTTGCAGAGGGGTCAAATACTTATTTTTCTCATTAAAATGCAAATCAATTCATAACATTTTTGACATGCGTTTTTCTGGATTTTGTTGTTGTTATTTTGTCTCTCACTGTTCAAATAAACCTACCATTAAAATTATAGACTGATCATTTCTTTGTCAGTGGGTAAACGTACCAAATCAGCAGGGGATCAAATACTTTTTTCCCTCACTGTAGATGCTATTGCTGTTTTAGTTACAAATTATTTTTTGTCTGGTGGTGGTAATGATGAAGCAACACTGTGATTAAGCCTATGAATCAGGGTGGCTGATCATTTGCACGAAACACCCACCTGGAAGACAATGAGGTACATGTAAGAGGCAGCATAGCAAGTCGGTTTGGTTACCGACTCGTGTAGTGGAGTGTGAGTGTATGCCCTTTTACTGTGCATGTGTTTCTCCAACAACCTTGGTTCTTTTCTACGCGCAAACTCACCCACTGACCACAGAACATATACAGGATCCTTTTCAAACGAGTCACAAGACCTGGAGAGGCTATTATCTTTGGTAAAGACATTTTACTACACGCAATATCGGTGTGGCAAAGATGAATTATTACGGCTGGGGTGATGACAGCCTGTAAGCACTGCTCCACCACAACTTAACACTGCAAGGCGGCAATTACGTGCAATTGCCACAATAGTTTGCCACGAGTGCAAGCACAATCATTACACCTGTGTGCCCATACACAGTGGGCGCTAATGTTATGCCCCTCGCATCGCATGCCCCGTGGTACATTATGCGACAAACCTCGTCACACCACCCAGGGTGCTCTTGTTGCTTAGGTCACGTGGTTTGTGATTTTTACTGGAAAATATTCCGAGCCATGAGCTCTCTGACCCCCCCCCCACACCCCCTTATTTGGCTGTTTGTTCAATTTACCGTTTAACAATAACAATATACGGCTCAATATAGGAAATATAAGGTGGGGGGGGGGGCGTTACGTCAAGTCACATTCGTTAAGTGGTCGCCCAGTGTGAACCACCCACCCTGTAGGTAGACAGATCGCGATCGTGCGTTTCCAAAACGTGTTTCGTGTAATGGCTGCATTAGGTCTCCGAGCCGAGTGTCGTGTATTTGCACCAAATGCTAAGTGACCCGGCATTATGCTCTATATTAGAATAGACTAACAGAGAGCCGTGGGGTTTGGGGAGGTCGTTATGGGGAACACGATTACTGGCCAACCATGCAAATACTAACATCATAAAATAATGGCTCAACATGCGTGCCGCGCATTTAATTCAAACGATTATTCAAGTAGCACATATGTACTATGTATGTACTGTGTAATATAACATTGATAATTAAAGAAAAAGTCTTTAAAAAGTAATGTTTTCTTTTTTAATGAAGCTGATATTAAAATGCAGTAATATTGTACAATAATAGTATAGATCTGGTAAATCTGATCATGAACACATTATATTGGATACAATGTCAAACTAATTTCAATACTGGACAAAGTAAACTTTTAAGCTGTGGCATTATCAGTGCAGACAGTGGTAACGGACCGTTGTCATCATTAAAAAAGTGTACAATTGACTGTTATTTTAATATCAGCATGTAGCAAACACAACCTATAGCTGCATAACAATATATTTTGATGTAAAACAATATACATCTATCGCGCAACCTGTAAATTCACAACGTGAAATATTTACAGCTTTCAAAAAATTATATTCATCCAGATAGAACCTGGTGGAGTCTTTAGATTTATATTTCAGAAAGGAGATGTTGTTTGGATGTTGAGGCATCATTTTTGTTTCGCTTCACAAGGATACCAGAGTACCCAGAGAAACTGTCCGCCCGTGAGAGTAGAACTCTCGAACTCCGCACAGATAGATGATCAATCCTTCCTCGCGTGTTTACTGTGGCGCGGATGGTTGATGAGGTATGAGCAAGTAGGCTCTCAGCACTCTAGACCACAATCAGGATACGAGAGTTCATAGCTTGGACATGGAATAACTCGGTACATTACAACACAATTTAGATTCATGTAGCGTCTAAATAAATACAACCGCATCTCATCATCCTTTCTGGGTCACTAATACGAGCACCGCTTTTCTGAAATTTGTAAAATCATGGTGAAGACTACAAATATACACGTTTGCAAAAACGAATCCTACTCCCGATCGAGACAGCAATTTTTGTAAACTGTTTTTTTCTACTGGAAACCCATTTAGGATGCGGTGATGAGTTTAGATCAATATAGGCTATACATAATACATTTAATCCAGCTATCGTTATAGCCAGGATGCAATTGTAAAAACAATGCTTTAATATATAATCGGTATACGGAGCAAGCGGTAGCTGTTATAGAGAAACCATTATTTTTCCAAACGTCGGACTGGCAAGAATGCACCTGCTATCACGTATCTGGACCTTCCTTCATCCATTGTCCCGGTGCCACACTGCCATGAGCTTCCAGCACCCACTCCTCCGGAGAGAGAGCAGCCGTCTTTAGAAGAGAGCAGTAAGTCAGAGAGCGAGGAAGATGTTGTAGATCCAGATGACAAAATACCTCAACGACTTGATGAGAGATCTTGGTCTCACCAAGTCCAATGCAAAGCTTTCGCCGAAAAGGCTCAAGCAGTGGAACTTGTTGGATGAAAGTGTGCAAGTCGCAGATCAGAGGAAGCGTCGCCAACCTTTTTGCAGCTTCTTCACCCGTCAAGATTGGCTCTGCTTCTGCCACAATGTGACCAGTCTGTTCGAGGTAATCGGAATCGCCGGTAACCAGAATGAGTGGCACCTCTTCATTGACAGCTCATCCAGGAGCCTCAAAGCCGTGCTGCTCCATAATGGTAACAAGTACCCGTCTCTTCCCCTGGCTCACTCGGTGCACCTCAAAGAGGATTACAACAGCATCAAGACCTTGCTGGACGCCTTTAAGTGTGATCAGTCCGGCTGGGAGGTCATCGGAGACTTCAAAATGGTGGCATTCCTGATGGGTCTCCAAGGCGGTTTAACCAAGTTTCCCTGCTACCTTTGCCTTTGGGACAGCAGGGACACCAAGGCGCACTATCACAGGCAGGGACTGGCCACAGTGGACCGAGTTCTCTGTGGGGAGGAACAACGTCAAGTGGGAGCCACTGGTGGACCGCCGGAAGGTGCTGATGCCACCACTGCACATCAAATTGGGCTTTGTGAAAAAATTAATCAGAGCTGTAGATATGGAGTTGGCAGCCTTCAAGTGCCTTCAAAACGTATTCCCTAAGGTGTCTGAGGCAAAGGTCAAAGCCAGTGTCTTCGTCAGACCACAGATAAAGAAGATCCTGGAGTGTAATGAATTCCACAAGAAGCTCACTAGTAAGGAGAAAGCGGCTGGGAACAGCTTTGTCGCAGTGGTTTGTGGCTTCCTGGGCAATCACAAGGTCGAAAACTATGTGGAGCTGGTTGAGACTGGTGAAGAACTCCGGCACAATGGGCTGTAGGATGTCCCTCAAAGTCCATATCCTTGATGCTCATCTTGATAAATTCAAGGAGAACATGGGAGCGTACTCGGAGGAGCAAGGCGAGCGCTTCCACCAGGACATACTGGGCTGTGAACGCCACTACCAAGGACAGTATAACGAGAACATGATGGGAGACTACATTTGGGGGCTGATTCGTGAAAATGATTTACAGTATAATCGTAAATCTCGAAAAACTACTTTTCTTCTAAATCTTAAGTAGTAATTTTTGTATTACTTTAGGCAATGATTAATGTGTTGTTTTTTTCTGACTTTATGTGAACGAAAAGACACAAACTCGCCCGTTTTCTCATTGAAAATATGTATATTTCAAAATATAACTTTCCTGCTCATAAAAGCAAAGTTTGTGGGGAATAATAGCCATTTTTAAAAATACTTTTTAGGCATGAGAAATTACGAAATAATGCTTACTATCCAGGAACAAAAATTATGTTACAAAGTGTAATTGTAGAATGGCAGTTGAAGGATGGTAGTAGTAGGATGGCAGCCGTAGAATGATAGTGGAAGGACGGTAGTGATGGGATGGTAGTGGTAGGGTGGTAATGGTAGGATGGTGATCATATGGGTCGTCGTGGTAATATGGTAGTGGTAGGAATTATGGCGATGGGATGAGTGGTAAGATGATATTGGTAGGATGGCAGGAGTAGATTGGCAGTGGTAGGGTGGTCGTGATAGGATGACAGTAATCGGATGGTAACAGTAGAATGATAGTGATGGGATGGTAGTGATGGAATGATAGTTGTATTCGTGGTTGCGGTTGGATGTATAGCTATAGTAGAATGGCAGTGGTATAAGGATGGCAGCGCTGGAATGTCAGTGGTGGAATGGCAATGTTGGGGATGATCGTGAGAGAACGCTAGTTGTCAGGGGTGGCGAGCGTGCGTGCGTGCATTGCGAGCGAGCGAGGAGGTGGTGCTGGTGTTGGGGGGTGGTGCAATTTGTGGATGAGCTGCGTAGATGGAGCGGGTGCGAGGAGGCTGTTGCCCCTCCTGCCTGCGTCGCTCGTGGGCTCTGCGCGCCAGCTAGCGTCGGCAGCGGCGCGCATATCGGGGGGGGGGGGGGGGGTGCTCGGCCCCAGCACCGCCGCGCGTCTCGTGTATAAAAGGCGCTGCCACTCGTGCATTGTAAGGTCGTTCACGCACCCCGCGAGCTCGTACGAGCGGCGCTCCTCCCCTCCCCCACAACGCACGCACGGTGGAAGAGACGCGCGGAGATCTACGGCACCGAGTCGATCAGCGGGCGCAGTTTTTGTGTGTGTGGTTTGTTCGGCTGTTTTGTTATATTTTTTTTTGTTGAAGTGGGGTTGGGGATGCCAGCCTCTACCAGCGACAGAGGCACGTTTCAAGAGGAGATCAGCTTTTCGGTGGCTATTTGGGCTCTTGCTGCTACGGCTGCTGCTGCTGTTGCTGCACATCACATCAACAGTGCGACGGAACAAATCCAACATCAGCCGTGCGTGTGCACAGCTCTTCGGGATACGCGGCTGAACTGAGCGGTCGGAGGGAAATTGGGGGACGAGGCGTGGAGAAAAATTTTTTTGGGAGGGGGGGGGGATACCTTGTGGTTTTGTTTGCGCGGTTGTGTCTGTGTGTGCGTGTGTATATATGTACACACGCACACACACACACACAAACAAGACGATACTCTCGAGAAGACACCATCAGCCAGAAGCAGAGCTCCGTCTCCCAACAACCGCCGTGGAAGAAGAGCATGAAGGAGGCGCCTTTTACGCATGAGCGTCGCCACGCGCCTACGATGAGCAGCAGCGCGCACCGCCGCCAGCCGCCGCGCACCCAGCCGCCGTCGGGACGATGAAATCGTACGTCTACAGCCGCCTGCTGGTGGTCTTCCCCTGGGTCCTGGTCGTGATCCTGGTCAGCGACTTGGACTTGAGCAAGAGCCGGCTGCGCCACGGCTACTTCCACCACGCGCGGGGCCCCCCGAGGAACGAGTGTTGCAACGCCAGCAGCAGCAGCAGCAGACCGCTCGTCCCCGTGGTGTACTGCATCACCCCCACGTACAGCCGCGCCGTGCAGAAGGCCGAGCTCACGCGGCTGGCCAACACGTTCCGCCAGGTGCCGCGCTTCCACTGGCTCGTGGTGGAGGACTCTGGCCAGAAGACGGCCCTCGTGGGCGCCCTGCTGGCCGGCTGCGGCGTGGCGCACACGCACCTCAACGTGGCCACGCCGAGGAGGTTCAAGCGAGCGGGGCAGCCCAGGGCCACGGAGCAGCGCAACGAGGGCCTCAAGTGGCTGCGGAGGAACAGAGCCGCGTCCCGCGACCGGGGGGTCGTGTTCTTCGCGGACGACGACAACACCTACAGCCTGGAGCTCTTCCACGAGGCGAGAGCACTGACACACATACAACATGCAACATGCTACACACACAGTATAGAATAGGCGTGATGTATAGACTACCATGCATGTGCAGCGTGCAGATATTCGACATAACGGGCATGCGCCACTCACGCAATGCATCCACATACGCTACGTGACGTTGAGCGGTGGTGCAGCGGTTAGCGCACCGCACACTATGAATTTTGCTGTAGACCCTGGCTGACGGTCAATGCAGAGTGATTATCTAAACCGGTCTTCTGCACCCCCTTGACCAACCACCCCGCACTAACCTGCGTGGTGAAGTATGGTCAAAACAACTCCCACGATCGACAAGTTGGGGGATGTCCTTGATCTATCGATTAGCAAACAACTGTGCATTGTTATTGTAGTACTCCTGTAATTCATAACACACATGCCGTTTATGTCATGCGCCGCACACACGCACAGCCTGAGGCTCTTGCACGAGGCCATGGGACAGAAGAGAATGCACGTAACCCCTATAGACCTTACATACTGATACATACAGCTGGATCAGCGTATAGTCTGCAGCTAGAGCCACGCTAAGTTATCTAACAGACGTATTTACACACACACACTCTCTTACCGACATACATACTTCGCATGTTTATATGTATGTGTGAACTTCTTTCGCACCGTACGTAGCCAACCGTGCTAATAGGAGGTGCGGGGAAGGACAACAAACTAAACGCAATCAGGGGTTCTAAAAAAAAGAGTTTTCAATCTAGATTTAAAAGTGCATTTCTCCATTGGCTCCCTAATACACGCGTAAATCAATAGACATACCTATTATATGATATTTCACACAATAAAACCTGGGCTGAAAGTGGGGGGGCATCTATTGCATTGTCAGCCATGATCACTCCATGATTTATTTTATTTCTATTATTATTTCTATTATTTTTTTTTTCCTATGTGACTTTACCGGAAAAAAAAAACTATAAATCCTTGCAGTCACGAAAGCTTCATATCTAGAAATGATCACTCCACTGCTGGACGAAGACCACCTCTCCGAGATGTCGCCACATCTCTCTCGATCTTGCGAGGAAAATCTAACAACCGAGCAGGTTGAAGTCTTCTCGGACGCGTTCGGAGGCGTAGATACACGCGATGTGCACTTCGCACAAAGCGTCCAGGCTCAAGCAAGACTGCTCAAGTGTGCACAAAGACAAAGACCCCCCATCCCGAATAACCTTTAACGCAGACTGCTGGGTCAAGTGCTGTTCGTGAGTTCCAATTAAGACCGGCACGGCACACGAGGGGGTGGGTGTCCACCACCACGGCCGGTCGCCTTTGTCTCCCCAGTGCCTATGTCTATTACAAAGGCTTGTACCATTTCTAGCAATAAAGCAGGTGTTAAGATGTTAAAACACCAAAAAGAATCATTTTTCACTGGAACATTGTCTGCATTAATCACACGTTCTTGTGATGAACATGCAAACAAAAAAAACATGTTCTGATACAATATATGCATTGTCTTTTAAACTGTTTGGTCCACACCAGAGACAGCTTTCTTTTGAGCCTCGTCTCAAACAGTGTTAGACCAGAGGACGCCAAAAGGCGAACGGCACGATCAGGGCATTTATAGCTCGGGGTGAGCAGCTACATCATGCGACATTTGCCTATGTAAAGTCAGGCATTCGTTTAAGTATGACAAGAGGCAAAGACCTCCCGTATAGCCTTAACAGACTGCTGGGGCAAGTGCCGTTAGTGAACACTGATGAAGGCCGCCTTTGTCTCCCTCGTGGTGATGTTTTCACACCGCACCAGGTACTCATTTGAGGCTGAGTCGACCTAGGGGAGGCCCAGGGCCGGTTGGGATAATCGTCACTGGTGTTGGCCGTGAGCGGCAAATCAGACCCGGGTCATTTAAGTATGCACGCAGACTAATAAACAGACCCTGAACGACGCCAGCCAGCAGATCAGAGACACGAATATATACGCTTTCATTTCAACACAAACTGCACGCGGATAGCAGTCTCTAACAACGGAGCGTGTTTTACACGCACTATATATACACACAATGCATGTGAAAATCCACGATGTGTCCAATTTTAGTGTGAACGAATGTACTCATCGCATTGTCACTGAGTGTGAATGTGTTGCTTGCTGCATGCATACCACAACGTATCCACGCACGTTCACACTGCAATCCTCTCGAGAACTTAGTCATGCGCATTGTAATACTTACAGCTCAGTGTACAGACAAAGATCCCCCATATAGCTATTAACGTACTGTTAACGAACAACCCGTGAAGGCTGGCACGGCATACTACACACGACACCACGCCCAGCCGCCTTTGTCTTCCAATGCTGATGTTTACATCACCGCAACCTCATTTCAGGCTGAGTCGACCTTCGGGAAGACCAGGGCCCGTTCGAATTGTCACCACTGTTTATTGGTGGGGTTTGTAGCACAGTGCGCTCGCCACTGCGTCACCGCTCAGTGTATGGAGCAAGAGACACGCACATAAAAGAACATTCAAAACACAATCTGCAACAGCTTTTTTTTTACAATGTGCATCAAAAAAATGCAATGCTCATGTGGAGTGGAACATGCTGCAAATGTACGCTAATCTCACGGAGCATTTGAATTGCGCCTACATGCTTAATTTGGCCCATTCTGAAGCATCCCGGCAAGGTTGTTTATTACGCAATCGCGCCGTAGCCACGCTCATCGACTTTTTTTTTAAATGAACAACCGCTGTAGACAAAAAAAAAGAACCAATTTCTGCAACCGCGCTCTGAAACCAGCGAGGCTTAGCGGGCGGTATATCATCACAGGGTTACAACATCCGTACTATCTATTGCTCTTGATAGCTATATACTGTACCGCGAAGTCCACAGTTTTCATAGCATTAGCCATGGTATGGTCAGTCCACTGCTGGATGAATGACTTCCCAAGCCGCCGCCGCCACCACCACCACCACTCGTGATCCCGCGATGGAATAAACCATCCAAATCCTGCACATGAAATGAATTAATTCATCTCCTCAATGGGCGTCCTCTCTCTCGGACGCGTTGTTCTCTTCATTGGTTGAAACTCCGTAATTATTATTGACCATCGGTCACTATCCCTTCTCGCGACGAGTGCAGTTGCATAGCGTCAAATTTCATATCTTAAACAATGCGTTAATAAGACAGAAATTGCTCAAGAGCGTGACTTTGGTTATATCAGTCACATGCAGCTCTTCGCGGTTGATCAAGTAACATGTCACGCTTAGATTTATGTAAAGGTGCAACGCCGCAATTCCTTGCTCATGCCACTGTTGGCAAAAATATCTCCACTAGATGGAGCTCGGTGTATTTGGCCTACTCTTCCACGCTGTCGAGACGGCTTCGGAGTACACACATTTCAGACTTAATGTGGTGTCGCCATGTCTACTGCTGCTTGAACAGAGGCAGGGACATTTAGCGCACTTGCGAAACAACGATCTTTGGGTTCGGAAATCCAGAATGATATTACCCGATGGCAAAATCCCAGATAATATTTACCAACGTGTGAACTTACACTGGAGTGTAAGGCTGAATGGGAACGAGAGATCCACAATGGCCCAAAAGTTAGGAAAGGTAGGATTATTTAATTTAGTTTAACACTGCCATTAAAATGTTTAATCGATCATCCCTTAAGTTGAGTTGATATTTTATCTATGATTAATGACATCACAGTTTCTTCTCCCTGTGGGGTCACCTCGAAGCAGTTGTTTATAAAACTCGACCAAGAACTCTGAACGAATTGAGACAAAACGCAATTGATGGATGTTCAAGGATTACACCGGTAATCTTTAAAACAGTCCTAAATTCATTTCAAAACAGAACCCATGCGTGCATTCATGTCAATGGAAGTCAATTTCAATTATTTTCATATAAATGAAAACGTCCTATGTGATTTGTTAAAAGACATATAACAACCCAACATGTCCTAACTCCTGGGGCACCCTGTATAGAGTGAACTCTACACGGGAATATGATTTAGGACAGGATCAATGCTGCAGCCCCTCTCTCTGCCCACGAGCTGGGCACGACACTAGACGACAGTGCGTGAGCAGAAGGTGTGGCTCGTATCCGCTTTCTCCGCTGCTCCCGGTACTCAACTTGAGCCTCCTCCTCCGCCTCTTCGTCCTCTCTCTGTCCCGCAGATTCGCAGCGTCCACCAGGTGGGCGTGTGGCCAGTGGGGCTCGTGGGCGGACGACGCTACGAGCGGCCCCTGGTGGAGAGAGGCCGCGTCGTGGGGTGGTACACGGGCTGGCGGCCCGACCGGCCCTTCGCCACCGATATGGCAGGTTCGTCGAAGTTCGTGCTCATTCACTCGCTCGGGTTGCCTTAATGTGGAAACGTATGGGGGGGAGGGAGGGAGGAACGCTTGTCAGGCTGATGTTGTGCGTCAGTGCGCTGTCCATGGTTCTGAAACGCATCAGTGCATTTACATTATCCTAAGCGCGTCGTATAGAGCAACAACGTGATGTAAGGTAACACAGCTACATTCTCATATGAATTGTATAAAGCCGCAATGCGCTGTTCTTGATTTCCCATGGCCATTCCGCTCTTGATACCAGTAATTAACACTGAACCTTAATCATCTTAGAGGTGTGTCTTTAGTCGTTGAGACTGGCAAAATTGCAAAAGAATCCCAATACCAATAAAGGTGCCTTAGTCTATCTCTCTGCACGTTACTGCATGAATCTGTGTACATGTTTATGTGTCGTGCAGCATTGCTTTGTCTGCAGTGTTGAATAGCGACAAAGCAGCTATGCTTGGCTTAGGCCCGACCCTGCCCTCTTTATCCTTGCAAATATTGATCACTCATCAGCCAGCCCGTATCACCCTTGCATCCCTTGCCTTTTCCTTTCAACCTCAGGCCCCCCTTTCGTGCTCACCCCTTCTTGACCTTGTTTTTCAGCGGGAAAGGTGCATTTTTTTCATGGCGATGGCATCCTCAGTGCAACTGTAAAAATCACCAAGTATATTTGATCCTGGAATAAAGCATGTAAATGTAACAATCCTCTAGACACGTTCACATTCAGCGGGTTTGAACAGTTATGTTGACTAATGATATCAAATAGGATATTTATGTTCTTGCTCTGGCGCTTAGTTGAAGACGATGTAATGTAACGGACTGGTATTCTCCACAGCTGCTAATCCATTCGTTTATGTGCAGGAGCGAGTTAGATCGGGGCATTGCTTCTGAACCTCAATGAATAGTGACGGCATGGGGGTGCCTTTCATCCTGCAGAGGATAGACAATGGCTGATGATGATGATGATGGACATTGTTGTTTAATCCGAGCTGGGTTGAGGGATAACCAATGTTTACGTGCTAAACCCACAATGCCAATCCCGTCCGAGTTAACGAATACAATTCATTCATAATATAGGTTTTTGGGTCAGATTTAAAAAAAAAACCTTTATTATGAATATTATTTCGATTCAAAGCTTTCGTGACTGCAGGGATTCCTCTTCTTGGTTCTTTCGGTAAAGTCACGTAGAATGGAAATAAAAAATAATAAAAATAAAACATAATAAAATAATTCTCACGACGTATCGGCCACAACGCAAGCAGCCGTCCTCAGGTGAAGAACAGGTCTGTCGTGAAGATAGAGTCTGAATGACAACCCCAGGCCATTTCTCTTGTGCACGCTCTGTGATCCACGTGTTCCGATTTCTGTCCCTTTTTAAAAAGACGCTCCAAGCCTATCATGGTCCACATCTCATTCAGACGCTGTCTCCCCGACAGACCTGGTCTTCACCTGAGGACGGCTGCTTGCGTTGTGGTCGAAACGTCGTGAGAATTATTTTATAATGTTTTATTGTTATTATTTTATTATTTCCCTTCTACGTGACTTTACCGAAAGAACCAAGAAGACGTGTGTGACCGCTTCACGAAATTGCTCTCTCAGAATCTCGCCCCCTGCTGGTCAAGCTGCAGACAGAACTATTGCTGTAAACCTTGTTAACGTATTATCAACTTGTTAAAGATTGGACCTGAGGACACCACTGATGGTGATGTAACAACCACATTGAGATGTAGAGAAAGAATAATAATACTCATCATCACAATCATTACTATCATGGTCCACAGTCAAACATCCAACAAAGTGGTAGTCTTTGCCCACCAGGATTTGCAGTCAATCTGGAGGTCCTTCTCTTAAACCCGAAAGCCGTGTTCAAGAGGAGAGGCTCGCAGCCCGGCATGCAGGAGTCCGACTTCCTCAAGCAGATCACCACCATGGAGGAGCTGGAGCCCAAGGCAGATAACTGCACCAAGGTGAGACGCTCGCTACTTAAACAAAAAAAACATCTTTTCATGTAATTACATATCAAAAAAGCGTGAAAGATGCATGCTGAATATTCAGTAAATTTATGCAAAATTATTCATTTTTCGATTTAAAGCTTTCGTGACTGCAGGGATTCATTTTCTTGGTTCTTTCGGTAAAGTCACGTAGAAGGGACTACGTGACTTTACCGAAAGAAACAAGAAGAAAAATTATTCATGTTTACAATTACTTTTGAGCCACTATAATGTGTTTTTTTTGCATGGATATAATAATGAGTTATATTTTTTAGTGATACAATTTTGACGAATCAAGTTATACTTGCTAAATATATGGTAGTAGAAGTAAATTAGAAATATAATTGCTTTTTTAAATGATGATGATGATGATGAGAATGTTTCACTTTAAAAAATCACATACTAACACATTAAAAAACATTCCCCGAAATTATATTAACTCGCATACGCTGTCAATTTCATAAAAATATTGAGATAAAATTAAACAACATGCTATTATAAATTAAAATATGAAACAAGGGAAATAGAATCCTTACTGACACCATGGCAGTTTTTTTTCTTCTCAGAACATGGCTGCTGTTTGGCCATATTTAAAAACGGAAATATTGAATAAAAAGTGAGGCAATGTTCCATTGGAACCTCCTTTGCCAGTAGCAAATATGATAATTGTTTTTTTTACCCTTTTATCAGGCAACAAAACTGACACCTTTTTTACAAGGAGTCGTAGCTGGCTGATTGGTAGAAAACACAGTCATGAAGCAATATTTTTAAGACAAAAGCCAATATGCTAAGCTCTGCCGTTTATTTAGTTACAAATTGTACTCAAATAAAACAAAAATAAATTGTTAAAAAGCAACATAACAACCACTATGCGGTGTTAGGTCAGTGGATTTTTAATACAATCACGTGGCCCACTCAACAATGGGGCTGTGATCAATTTTTGAACCGGAATCGATTAATCGGATTAAGCATGCGTGGAATTGAGTGTGTGAGAAACGATTGCAGTCTCTGTAATCGATGTTAATTATGTGAAAATGTTACATTAAGGCTAATGAGAAGGAGAAAGACGCCAAAAAACGAACGAGTGAGACAGCAACAGTCGATATCTGGGCATTAATTTGTGATGTCGAACCTTGGCAATGGCATATTCATAGCTAGCTGATTGGTAGTCACATGTTCGCAGACATTGTAAGCATGAGCATAATTGCAATGCCTGCAAGCAAGGATAAGGTAAAGTACTGGTTGCTATTTTATATCGACTGTTTAATTATGGTTAACATTTAGTTTTTCTCTGCCACAATTGAATCACAATATTAATATTTAGACACGTAAAAAACAATTGGTTTTATTAAATCTTAGTTTATGTGTTATGGACAGATGGTGAATGTATTTTATAGTGCGTTATTATTAGTGTTTCCCTTAATGTAAAAATCAATGAATGTCAACCTTAAAAAACCAGTAGATTGGACGTAACCCAATGTAATAATTTTGTTACAATCTGATTTTCATTTTGATCGTATTCAATTGTAGAAATATTAAGCCGCTCTCTCAAATAAGTAGATGGGATTGGTCAGGGATTGTGCAGTTTCCAATTACAACCCACACTGATGATACACCCAGACAAACCACACGTTTTTCTTATTTTCGTTACATTAAAACTGTGTTGTTCACACAGAATTGACGACCTACATATATACAGAGAAATGAAATGCCCCAATCACAGAACAAGGACTCAATTATTACATTATTCACTGATTTAACAAATTCAAGACCGGTTGGGTTCTTACTGCAAATGTATTCATTGTCCACTGATATTATTGCAAAATCATAACCAAAAATGGAAAGGCCAACTAATCACGAGAAAGCCAGGTTTACCAGTGACCACACACACATATATATACTGTGAGATTATGGGAAATACAAATGAATATCAAATTCCATTATTAATGGCCTTAGTAGACAATTCAAGTCCATTTGTATTCGTGAAAACTGACAATCATCCAAGATATCACAAACCGAGGCCTCAAATAAAACATACTTTTGAACCATTTACAAAAATACAACAGCAACACTGGGATTTCATGAAAACACACGTACGTATTATAAGGGAGTAAGACAAGGAGATACACTTTTGCCAAATTTATCCATGGCGACATCAGAATGTGTGTCCTGAAAATTACATTGCAGTAATATTGGCATGAACATAATTGAATAAGATATGAGCCATTTCTGAGTGGATGATGAGTCATGAACGATGTGAAATTATAGAATAACGCTTTAAAGTGGGACTTGGAATGTATGTGAGCATTAAAGTACACATCCAATGTAGTTATAGAAAGTGGACTTGGATAAAACATTAAATCAAGAGGCTGACGAGGTCGGTTGGAAAACTGAACCTAGCAATGAACAGAAACATAGCAACGTGCCTGAACAATAACGTGTATGAATCAGTGTCGATTACCTGGATAGACATTGACAAAGAAAAAAGGAAATATTTCTAAAAAGTGCACCAAGAAGTATGGCCAGGTATGTATGTTGAACTTATTTCGCGCCATACGTCACCAACCATGCTAATCAGATGTGTCGGGGAAGGACAACAGAATAAACACAAAGAGCATTTCTAAATAAATTAGTTTTCGATTTAGATTGAAGAGTGCATAGCTCCAATATCTTCCTAAGCGGATCACATGAATTTGAGAATACGTGCGAGTTAGAGTCAAATTAGAGGCATTCAAATGACTGTTAAGAGAAGTAAGTTAGCGTGGGTAGAACATTGCTGCAAGAGGAAATCATCACCGGTGGTCAAGACTGATGATGGAGTGGCAGCTAAAGGAGTGAACACACCCAAGAGGATGTCGAATGAAGAGTGATGAATCAGATCCTGTTGCAGGGACTAGGTGTATTGTTGTATGGTAGTGAGGGATGGCCAATGGCTTTTGCCAAACTATCACAAAAAAATATTTTTCTGAAAAAAAAACGTACAAATAAATTAATCTAAAACATCTACAAAGGTCTGTGATTTATGTTTAATAAAAAAAATTACCAATAACATTTCCCTAAATTGTGTTTTTGCTATAAATAATTGTCTAGTTATCGTACGAACACTGTTTCAATATGTATATAAAATATTACTTGCTATCTACATGGTTGTGACAATCTCAGAAAAATGGCACCGTGGCCCATTAAAAGTGTCAACTAATGCAGTCCTTAGCGTCTCTTTCACGAACCCACATTGGCCAGTATGGTGTGGAGGAAGCCTTCAGATAGCTTCAGAATAACAAAGAAGTTATGTTATGATATAAAAGATATACTTATCGCCAAAAAAAATGTAATCTAATTTTGGTGATTAAATACTAACCTGTTTCATTGGCCACAAGCGACCTTATGACAAACGACCTAATTTTATGCTCATTATATTTAAGTGAATATTCACAATAAAGTAGTCTTTATGGTTAATATACCTATATTGAAAAAAAATACGTTAAAACCCAATAATGTTAAATCCTGCTATGTATTTTCACAAAAACAGCCACATTGTCCTCTATTTATATATATATATATATAAATAGGTCCTTTATGACATATGCAACATTATTAATGTTGCAAACTGATGTCACGTTTACTTAGAAAAAATGCATAATTCTTTTTTTTGTGTAACAGTCTTGTTTTTTTTTACAAATGCTGACAAAAAAATCCTCTCTTGCACTTTATTTTAAATAAAATAAAAAGTTTAAGAAAAATCGTTGGACCATTACATTATATACAGCTCTGTAATTGTTCTTTGCTAAAATGGCCTTAGCCCTTCATTGTTGTGATGACAATTGCTATATACGCTACATATCGTATCGTGACTAAATGAAAAAAATACGTGAAAAAATACACGCCCAACCCATGTACCTTTTTTGATTGGCAATGCAAAATAAATTCGTATTTATCTTTGGAAAAACAGACTGAAAATTGCCTGCTGTTTTCTTTGTATTATTAACTGAAAACTAAACCAATGCTGTGGTGCATGCTTAATATTATTGTGAATTAAATCAAATAATATTACCTAAAAACAACATGCTAGTAAAATAACAAACCAAACATGTTTCACTACATTCAAATAAAATAAGCTGGAAGCCATTTCAATTGACGATATTGACTCTTCAAAGAGAGTTGTGCCCAGATAGAGGCAAACACCAATGTCTCATGAAGCATACATTAGATGCACACGTGTACATCAATGGACACAAGTTTTATTGCTTGCATGCAAAATGGGACCTTTAATAACCTAAAAAAACTTTTTTTATCCTGCCTATTTAGCCCATTGATATTTGTATATTGTTAGATAAACTACATTACAAATGGTTTAGGGATTTTGTTAATCAACTTGTTAAACGCATGTGAAGTTGGACAAACAGATTGACGAATGGATGCATGGACATATTTACTAGCAATGGAAATAGCATGTTCGCTTCTGGAATATCATTTGAGTCAGGATACAGGCCTTAAATTCTGCCAGTAACAATTAGCCCACAAGGGCCTTAGGTTGATGGACTAAAATGTTGAAGTTTCATTTTATGGCATTCCTTTTCTGTTTGTTATTTAAATATATTACCCGCAATCCAATGTGACATCATATTATTACATTCTCACAGCATACTAATGTGAGTTTTTTTTTAAATGAATAACAATATGTAAAGTTACTGTATCTTAAATTGGCTCAATTTCAAATAAAACGTGAAAATTATCAGGGTCATATTTCACTGAAAACAACAAAGCAGCTGATCACGTATATTTGCTTAATTAAATATTACGTGTTAAGAATCTTTGTAACACTTTTTTTTTTACCCAACAAAAATAACATACTCGTGGTTTTCCTCCTCCAGAAAATGTATTTAAAAAATACTATTATTTGTCAACATGCATTTTCTTTCCCCACCCCCACCTCCCTAGAATGGTAAAATAATTAGGGCGTGATTCACTTCTCTGCCAATGCCAAAATGAGTTGTCATGGCTGCGCCCTTGCTCGCTGCTTCCAAGCACCACATTCAGATCCTCGTAATGGCCTAGTCCAGGGGTCGGCAACCAAAATAACAAGAAGAGCCATTTCTTTCCAATTCGGTACAAAATTCAGTATTTCAAGAGCCGCAATGCATCTATGTAATACGTACATATCGTCAAGAAGCAGCACGTAAAGAGCCGCATGCGGCTCCGGAGCCGTAGGTTGCCGACCCCTGGCCTAGTCGGTAACACCTTGCCCCCTTCCATGCTATGCCCACCACACAATCACTACGGTTGTGACGATTTCATTTTCCACAATACGATATAAAATTTCACAATATGACAATTACAGTACCATGATATCCGATTCCTATAACTTTGTATTAGTATTTAGCAGTTTTGTTGTATTGTTTTTTGTGTATTGCTGTCTTTCCATTACAAATAAAGATGACTCAAAGGTGTATTATGTTGAGTGAACTGCTTTTGCAACTTCGCAACCTATAATGCTTAATACGCACACGCTGTCACCGATGCGAGAAATAACTAATTAAATCAACTACTGCAATAGTCCAGGCTCACTGTAAGCTGTGATGCGGGAAAACAAGCATGTTTCGTGCATACATCTAATTGTTGTCTTTATTATTTGACATTTATTTTGCCAGAATAAAGGATATCGAAAAAACGGTCACGATAATTAGCAAAACGGACGATATGATTATCGTGGACCTTGTGCTGTATGGTCAATTGTAGTATTGCCTTACGGCGAAGACCCTCATAATAGAAACACAACGGATAGAGCCGACACATGCGCTGGCTGTCCGGGGGTGTTGGTGCGAAATACTACGCGCGTACAATGGAAATGATTTTCAAAAATGTTTAGCACCATTAGTCTGCGAGCCCAGACTGGATGTTTCACTTGTCAAAACCACCTCAAGTGGCATAACTTTAGCTATTCCAAATGCTCAATGCGGCCAATAACAGTGAATTATGTGATAACAATTTGAAGCGAATAGCCGTATAAATAGAATGGCGCTGGCTCACCTTTTACTACCTGAGGCAGCACCAATTTCCCCGCTCGCCCATGGATTACGAGGAAGGCACTGCTCTTGATCTCAAGCGTCGCTGCTGGTGGTACCATGGACAGCGCATCATTGCCACCTTGCAACGCCACAGTGAGCAGTTTGGTTCGTGATATGGAGACATCACATATCTATAAGGTCCACGATAATTATAATTTTGATTTAAAGCTTTCGTGACTGCAGGGATTCATGTTCTTGGTTCTTTCGGTAAAGTCACGTAGAAGGGAAATAATAAAATATAAATATTTTGTATTGTTTTATATTTACATTATTTTATTATTTCCCTTCTACGTGATAATTATAATGTTTTTGCAAAATTTCGTTATATTGTGTTTGTCATTGCTTGTTTATTTATTTATTTTATTCCCTAACCAAATAGTTCTGAAACGACAAAAGCACAATACTGAGACTTCTAAATATATAGCTTTTGCTAAATAATTGAGTGCTGAGAACAATGTATTCTGGATAAATTGACAGCTCAGTAGTTATAATTTTGTAGTTGGGTTGATTATTTAATCACTCCTTGTGTCACTAACAGCAAGTGCGTTAAAGGTTGCCAAGTGGCAGGCCTAAATTCAGACTGGAAGTACAACAAAGCAAAAAAACCAAGACTATAAAAATGCTAAATCCTATTACAAATGTATTGGAAAACTGATACCATGAAAATCCATCAATCCCTCATCACGTGAAAATTGTCATCATCTCGTGAAATATTACATCGCGGCGACCCTAGCGAGTACAACAACGGCATTCACTGGAAGGTGCATGGGGCCAGGGAGCACGGTGACCGCTGGACGAATGGGGGCTCAGAGGGTGACTGAGACAGAAGCGCGACGCTCATTGCGCGCGCCACACTACCTGCACCTTGCCGCCAACCCCTTGTGTAAAATTGCCACCAGCTCGGAGCTGCAATGGGAATCTGTTGGGCGCACAAACTCTTATCTGTACACCCACGCCCACTATCGCGGCCATCTTATTCGTATGGCTGATGTTGGTGTAGTGCAGGGGTCGAGAACCTTTTTGACTGGGAGAGCCATAAAAGCGAAATATTTCTAAATATATTTCATTGAGAGCCATATAGTATTTTTTAACGTATAATAAGTTAAATATGTCTTACTTTTAATGCGACTTCTGGTGCTGCATGGTTTTGCTGATGGCCTTGTAGTCTGGTTCATACGACGTGGTGAGGTTGAGCTTCATGCAGGCGTGACCCGTGAAATTTATCTTCAAAACTAATTTCTGTTTACTTTAAAATGACACGGTATTATTCAGCAAATATCACAAGTATTTTAAAATCAGTTCCAAACTGATTTTTTTATTTTTTATTATTATTTTTCAACTCAAAATTGTCTGGGAGCCATATGCCGTCACTGGAAGAGCCATATATGGCTCGCGAGCCATAGGTTCCCGACCGCTGATGTAGAGCAACAAGAATAATTTTGGAGTGAGTTGGTTGAGTCAAACAATTGCATCAGGAGTCGTAGAGTCTTATCGCTGTGATGCCTCATTCGCGTTTAAGATTCGGGCATTGGGTCGTTGTATGACTCATTGTCCGGTTTGGGTGATCACAGTCACATACCGGAGAATATTTCATGTCCTATATGGCTAATAACTGTCGGTCATGTGAGAATTAGAAGATTTGATTTTCATAGGAACGCAACAAAAAATGGCTATTGGCTACTAGTTCCTGTCATAATGGCCATAAGATTACTGGTGAGATGTGAATCATGTGCTTACTGTATATTAAAATACTTTTTTAACAATATATTCAGGAAAATGTATACCTTGAGAGAGACATCATTTACTTAATTTGTTTTGGTGAAAATTAAAATTGCGTTGAGATTAATTACAGTGCATATACTTAAGAGAATTTAAATAAGTATAACCCGTAAAAACTAAGTTTTTCACTATAAATCCTTTATATGCGTGGCGGCTAGAGTCCTCTCCTCCTCTGGCTTGAGATGGCTGCCACCTATGGGTCAGATGATTGTCTGCCAGTATTAAGCAATTGGTAATTAAATATTTAATTTGTTTTCCCTAAACAGTGTAAAATTTTAGAATTTTTTTTTCACGAACATTAATTGTCTCGCACAACGAGTCTGTGTGCAAAATGTCAGCTCGATTGGATCACGGGAAGTGGATTAAAAAACGACCTAAAGATTTGCACGGTCGTAAGCAAGCAAGCACGCAAGCATGCGAACTTAACTTAATATAAAGGATTTAAAAAGAGCTCTTCTTACATTGACATGCTAATCTCTCACAATACAATGGCCACCCCCCAACAGCTCCGTGGTACCTCTTCCACACTGGCATTAGCTGCCCCGCCCATCTCTAAACCATTTGTAAACAGCTCTTTGATTGGTGGAGACCTTCTGCATGTTACGGAGACCTCCCCTACATTAACATTAGCTGCCCCCACCCCATCTCTAAACCTTTATAAACAGCCTGCCTCGGCAGATTTCCCCCTCTTTTTAAATCCTTTATATTAAGTTCACTTGCCTGCGCGCTTACGACCGTGCAAATCTTTCGGTCGTTATTTAACTCACTTCCCGTGATCCAATCGAGCTGACATTTTGCACACAGACTCGTTATGCGTGACAATATATTTTCGTGAAAAAAAGATTTCCAAAATTTTCCACTTTTTAGGATTTTTTTCATATTTTATTTAAAATACCAATGTGATAAAAATGAAACTCTTACTCAAGAAAAACAGAAATGAATAAAATAAAAACCGATGCCCACGCATATAAAGGATTTATAGTGAAAAACTTTGTTTTTACGGGTTATTTTTTTCATCTGAAGACGATTGTTTGCGTTGCGATCGAAACGTCGTGATATTATTATTTTGATTATTTTTTTTATCTACGTGGCTTTACCAAAAGACACAAAGAATATACATACATGATAATTTTTGTCCAACTATTGCTCTTCTGTTCCCAACCTTAATGGTCAATATGCATGCTTAAAGCCAATAAAAAAAGTACATTTGTTTTCACATTCTGAACGTAAATGTTGCGGCTCTCAGGTATACGTAAGCTCATCTTTCCCCCCCCCCCCCCCTCAATCGACCAACTCGCTCCCTCACCACACTTACACGTTTGCATTGCCCGATTCATCTCGAATTGTGACTCCGTTTAACTCGAAGCGTTGCTCTTTTCCAGGTTCTCGTGTGGCACACGCGGACAGAGAAGGCAAACCTTATCAATGAATCGCGAGATAAACAGGAAAAGATTTATATCGAGGTGTGACGGAGGGCACCTCAGGCGAGCTGCCAACTCTTCCCCTTTGCCTTATGGACGACGTTTCACTTTTAAGAAGAAAAATAATGCTTATTGCACTGCTGGGACGACATAATAAAGCTGAAGCGCAATTCCCCCAATTCCCAAAACAACTGGAATGCCAACCCACTTGCCACACTTTCCCTCTCCCCACCTCGTATTGTTTCAAGCCCCTTCCCAGTTTTGTTTTGAGAAATCGCCGGGACTATTGTGAAAGCGACGCTTGACGACTTCATGCTGAAACACTGAATGGAAGAAAGAAAAATGAAAGAGGCAACAAATGCAAAGTAAACCTCACAAGGGATAAATGGATCACCTTTTCCCCTTCTCAATTCCCTTCAGGGCTATGTTAGAATGTGCACAATTCAGCCTAATTAAAATACGTTTGGAGTCCCATTATTCTCTACATATTAATGAAATCTGTCACTGGAGGATGAAATACGAGTGTCATTGATTGTCATTACATAATTGTACATACCGTATGTTGGTTCCTATGTGGCACAGTTTAGAGAGTTAATATTGCATGTAAGATGGAAAATGATCCTATTTATATGTAAATTTTGCACAGTTTACATTAGAACCCACGGCTAAAGGAAGTCTTTTGATACAACTGGTAGTCTGTGATAATGGATTGTTGTCATATATTGGCTTTCTGCTTCCTTTCCAGCTTTGAATTTTTTTAAATACATTACACAAATTGTAATTGCAAATGATTTTTATGGAAAGTTACAGGGTTGAGAAAGGAACGTGTGAAATGCATCTTCTGTGGCTTATAAACGTGTTTCGAATAGCTAATCTTACAAAGTCTTGTGATCTGCTCATGCAGCGGGGGGTGGAAAACAAAAAAAACGGCACGGGAAGAATGAATGAATGACTGGAGACCTTGTCAGCTCAACGTCACGCTCAGCGCACCCACCACAGCAATGCATCATTGCTACGATCCTTTTAAATAAAGACCACTGCTGAGACTACGATGGCGGACGCACAGCAGAACAAATGTCTTAATAGTGCGTGTGGCTTTTGGAGAAGTGTGAACAATGCAAGGTCTGAACCACAACTGTTAGTTGACCAGTGGCCTCCACTGCAAGGTCCATATGACTACATTAAAAGCGCTCTCCGTATTTTGCTGCCCGTCCTGCTCAAGTGTTGTGCCTCACCTTACTCCAACTCAAGCTGGCTTAAGGGGAAAGTTGCACGTCCAATTTCTGCGCAAACGCTTGCCCAGCCACTACCGTCAAACGCTTTTTTTTCTCCCACGGTGCCCTAGGAAGATTTTCCCTGCTGGTTTCAGTTTGAGGTTAATATTTTGATGGACATCTTGGCATTGAGCGGATTCATCCCCCGCGTGTCAGTATCACGTCGTTTTCAATGTCTCATTATTATTATTATTGACGGGACGCTGTCACGGTGCAATTGTTTGCACACTGGGCTTACAATCCAAGGTACGTCAGAAGATGAAACAATGGTAAAAGTGTATTAAATCTCTTACACTCAGAATTGTAAATGGATGAACCGCAGTTAATCGATTGGCAGGTCGCCTCAGCTTGGCCTCATGAAAGGCTCTCTTGAAGGGTTCTTCAAGCCTTCTGGCAAACGTGGCTTGAGTAGGTACTTTCAGGGCTGCGCTTTTATATTTAGTACCACCTCATTTGCATAATTTATCCTATTATTCTGTCCTGTTTCGAGCTTAATTCTCTCCATCAGCCATACATTACCATACACATAGGATTTGCGTGCAATGTGTACATTTTAAATGTTTTTTTTTACACAATTCAATGTGAGCATAAGAATCAATTTTAAGAGACACACTGAAGAATCGTTACACGCCACACATGCAGAGGCTGTACTTGTCATTTCACGTGACCGAGGCATGGAGGAATAGGTCTGTAATTTGAGGAAATGGCCTTGCTGAACGGCTTTTTGATTCCGCTGAGATTTTGCAAAAAACATTGCACCAGGTACTCTACGCACTCAAGGCTGAGTAGGCATAGGGGAGGCCAGAAAAAGTGTTGATACTACTTGCCACTGATGTTAGCCATGCACACATGTACTCACAACAAAGACAATGACCCCCTGAGAAGTCTTAACTGATTTTTTGGGCAAGTGCAGTTCTAGCCACACACACAGTCAAGTACTCACAACAAAGACAAAGACCCCCCGTATAGCCTTAACTGACCTTTGAGGCAAGTGCTGGTTAGCAAGCACCTATGAATGCCGGTACGGTACACGAGGCGGTGGGTGGCCAGCACCACGCCTGGCCACCTTTGTCTCCAGAGCGGCGATGTTTACACACCCCACCAGGTACACATGGGGGAGGCCTAGGACCGGTTCAAATAATCGTCACTGGTGTTGACCGCGAGCAGAAATCGAACTCTGGTCGCTGGGCTCGTACCGCAGCACCCTAACCGCTGCGCCACCGCTCTCCACACGTACACGCACACAAATATGCACAAAGGCATGCGCAGAGCCGAGAGAACACCACACTTTATTTGACACGTTTTTTTTTTTCGGACAATGTTTCACTGATATAATGCACAAGCAGCTGTGATATGCACACACCAACTCACTATTGCAATGCGGCCTACTTTGGGCTGAGTTATACTGATGGAATGGGACATTCTTGCCATGTGCTGAATGATGCTAAGTGCAAATGGCTATGTTTTCCAATCTAACAGGGTCTCAATATTGGACCGTTAACCATTGTATTGATAAAACTGAAGATAATACAATTTCTAACATTTAATAATGGTTGCACATCAGCCTTCCTGAGTATGAGGATTACTTATATAAGTGAATAACGAATCAAACCAAGAATACCACATGGAATATATATCTGAAGCACATGTTACAAGGTCTACAGCCGAATGGCTGTTAAAGGAAGAATGGTCAATATGAAACAAAACATAAATCACAGTATATTCAACGCAAGAGTGTTTATACATGGTGCGTGTCCATAGGGGTTGAGCACTCTTCACATTTGATTCTGGATTAGCACACAGGAGCACACAGGACGTTGGCCGGGGATGCACCACAACAAGACACCTACTTCATGTTTGTTGTTACTCGTGATACCTGTTTGGGGTTCAAATGGGAGAATCCCTCTGAGGAACTCACTTCAGCACAAACTTGCCTTGAAACGTTGGCGTTGTGGCCAACATTGAACGCAGTTACACTGGAATCTTTGCAGTACGTTAGCCACTCGTACATATCTCACCCCTATGGTCCGGTACAGCCGAGACAAATATCATGCAATACTCCCATCTTGATGTTCAAGGAAACAAAGGCTGAATTTTTCACCATTAACAAGACCAATAAGAAACTACGTAAAACACAGATATTACATAGATACACAATGCAGTGCCCTTCTTTAATGTCAGTGCAAACTAGCAACACAAATGCAAATAAAAGGTTTGCAGAAAAATTGTGCTTTCGAAAGCCGAGTAAGTTAATTGAGTTACATGAGTGCAATACGCCAAGAGCAACCTGGGACCACGCACGGAAACGGGCTAAGGTGGGGAGAAAGATGAGGGATACGGGGTAAGAAGACAGAAGGAAAACAATCTTGGGAAGACGGGATGACATTGGAAAGAGGCGAATAAACCAATCTGTTTAACATTTTAGCATGTAAAAGCAATGTTATGTTATCAAGCAAAAGGTGTAAGTGAAAGGCGAGTAACGCTGACAGAATGTTCTGCCTCACTCTACATCTGCATTGCTTGATATTAACAGGAATTGAAGAGGTGCACCGCACTCCCGCCTACCTCAACTCAACTGACCCCATTCCAGTGGGGGAGTGGAAATCGGCTGGGGTGATTATTATTCATCATCGGCTGACAAGCTGAGCACTTCTATGGCCCAAGACGTCGGCAGCGTAGAAACCAGGTTGCAGTGGGAGCACCAAAAACTTGAGAGATAAAAGTGACGATTTCTGGAAATATTAAATATAGGCGACAGATCATGTAGGCCTATATGTACAGCACACAGAGAATAGGTAGCTAATATAATAGTAACACAACAAAAACAGACGTTATAATGACAAACTGGTTTATTCTATCAAGTAATTAAGTGACTGTTTATTGTTCTATTGGCCCTTAACAACGGGAATGCAAATCTATAGACGTAAGCAACCAATGAGCATTGACATTGTACTAACAGCTAGTGTTTTTATCCGTATGCGTTTCTACCCTGTTATAGCTTAGACACATCTACACAAACTGAATTGGCAGTAAAATCAGTAGGTGCTATATATATGCAATACTCCATGTATGCACCAAGACCAAGACGAAATTAGTAGCATTAAGAGACCACTTCAACTTTACACGATGCAGAAAACAAACATAAAATATACATTAGCTTTGATTCAGAGGATGGTAACATGATGGACCTCGTTAAATGCATTCATTCTGGGAGTGTGTTCGCTGACTGGAAGGCTGACCAGAAGCTTTGGTGATACTCTCCCCTTCTGTGGTTCACTCTCAAATTCTGTTTATACTTTTACCCTTGATCATTGCCACACTTGGGTTTTATTTTCAATGATATGCAACGTACGATACATCGTGTTAACCAGAACCTTGAACTGCATTATGCGTAATTCCACAGTAATCTTGTACGACACCGAAAAAACACCACTGTACAATACACCGTAGTAATAATTTAACCGATTGTGATTAAGCGGTGTTTTTTGTTCTGCTACGACACACATTCTGCTTCTATTTAAGCAATGGCACAAAGAAGAATTATGGGTAAAAATGTTCAATCGCAGCAATCCAATAGTTCACGAATACAATTCCAAATAACAGCTTTACGAGTCCGCCATCAGTTTACGGGATTTGCTTTATGCAAACGTTATCGCAAGAGGTTAATGTCAGCTTGGATTCACGTCACCGGTGGACAAAAAAACACACACAAACCCGGTCTGTAGTGTTTGGGAAGGACGTGCAAGCGAAGAGTTGACCATACAGCAACACAACACTACACCTTCCAGTCTGCCCAGCGGGTGGCTCAGTGTTAAGGTATGTATGGCTAAACGTCATCAGTGATGACAGATGGGAGATAGCACCTTGAGCACACAACCCATAAAGCACCAGTTCTCAAACGAAAACAATTAAGCTTTTTAAACACCAATTGACACCTGAACTTACATTGTACAATACGCAAAAAGCTTGAATTTAGGAGAATGGGAGAAAAAGATTTTGAAAAATTCTGATCGTAAGCTCAGACGTGAATAGCAGCTTATGACTGTGCTTATTTTCTCAGTTTATCTTTTCATTGCGTTTCAGTGCAGTGGCAGTAATGTAGCTTGTTTTTATTCTCATCATCACTGCCATCACCATTGTTTAATTGCACAAATTAATAAAATCGGATGTATTTATAGACTTTATTGCAAGTGAGATTCCTTTGAATACATTTTTTTCTTTATTTCAAAGGGATCGTTAGACACTATCTCATGGGGGTAATCCTTGCCTACAAGACCAGCAAAAATTAAGTGTTCTTGCTCATGATATCGTATGCGATCTGACTGACAGCTAACTCCCGACAGAAAATATCACAGGCCTGCATGAATCCAACCATTTAACCTTGTGTAAACGTGCTCGGTGGTGAGGGAAATGACTCTTACACTACTAGCTGCTATCACCAACAATGCAACTATACTTTGGGAAACGGTATCACTTTCAGCTGAACACATTTAATACTTTAGTTTCAAATGTACCCTCCCCGCGCCCCTCCCCCACTTGCTTTTTGCACTCAAGCTTATTTCGTGTTATGGACCGCAGACGTGGCGCTTATTGCATGAACATTTTGTGCTGCACCGCTCAAAGGTGGGCGGGAGAGATAACAGGTAGAGAAGGCGGCTAAGAGTGAGGGGGCAAGGGTAATGGGAAGGCGGCCGTCACTTCCAGAGCTGGGTGCTCAGCGTGCGGCCAGCTGCGGGAGGCGCGGGGCAGCCTGGACCTCCACTGGCACCCGGGGGCCAGGCGAGAACGCCCCCAACCGTGACACCGGCTGGAACGAGGCCTAGCCCACTCATCTGCTCCGTCATCTGCGGGCGGGAGAGAGGGCAGCAGCAGACGTGGGCATTCCGGCGCGCAAGAGCTTCGTTACGATGTCTGAGCAGCGTTTGTGTCGTGTCTGTCTTTTGAGAATAACTTGAAACGTGAAGCTTGTGAGTTTAAGAGGCATCTCTCTCTCGTGTGTGTGCTGGGAGAACAGGGCAGAAGGGATCCGCCCCCCACCCACCCTATCTCTCCACCCACCCCCCACCGCAATTAGCACTTGAATGCAAAATGACAAGAAAAATAGTTTAAGTAAAAGTTGCCATTTCATGCACATTGTTAAAATTGTGATACAATAGAATTGGTTTTTACATGTCATAAAAATACTAAAACACTCAAAAATGTACAAAGCAAACATCCAAATCGCGACACTTCTGAAATGTGTTGAGGGTCGATTGAGAAATTCCTATGAAAATAGTTCATCATTAGATTGTATTCTTTTTCAATCTAAAACATGCATCTACATGTAACTCTCGATTACCCTGTCGGCAGACTGCCGGGTTGTGGATTAATTATGCTTGTAAATATATTTCTATTAGTAGCTGTTCCTCGCTTGTCCAGGACCAATGACTCAGTGGCCACAAGACAACGAACGCCCGCAAGCAAATGTAATTGTTGAATTTTCCTCTTGGTGTAGCAATTGACTGGATGTCACGTATTCTCTGTATCGTTCCAAGTAATAATGATGACCTCATTCTGAATCTTAAACCCCATTCTAAGTAGATAAACAATACTTTTTATATAGCCCAATTTACATTGAGTTGATCAGGAGTTGATTGTGACTTACTTGGTGTTGCACAAACTCTTTATGGGCTATTGGATGTCAAAGGCAGCAGAGGTCCATATCTGGCAATCTTAAGATTTTAATTTACATACTTATGAAATATTAACATAGGCAAAATTAGACCCCCTCGACAATATTTAGGCCAAGATATGCTCCTTAAAAGGTGTGTCTCTATATCACCATATAAGTGCTTTGTAATCAAACTAAATTCTGAGTATTTTGTATATTGACTAATTTTTACCGGATCTTTATGCATAAAGTATAAAAGGATCTAGCAGTTAAAATTACAAATGTTAAATGTATAGAATATTATGACTGATTTGCAATGATTTGCATGCTTGTAATTGAAAAAGCATGAGACCCATGATAAAACATGCATCTTTTGTAGAGAAAATGGGTCACTTTTGAATGGGTTTCTGAAAAGCATGATCTACTAAATGTCATACTCACGACAATAGTTGTAACAAAAAACTGTCATTTGAAGACAATTGCATGAATGCACCAATCTTCATGAGCTGACCTTGGTGATGTAGAGAATTAACAAAAATTACCACATTCCTCCTGGAGTGTCTTTAATAGGTTATTAACTAACTGGAAATGTTTCAAAGGTGTTAATCAACTATGTAATATATATTTTTTAATGATGCACTTTGATTTTATGAAGATCATGTATTTTTTTAATTACACCCCCATATGAAACCAAGCCTACTTTATCAATGCCACATTGATGTTTATTATTCATTAGTGATGAATTTGTGGATTTTAACGGGTATTACTATCCAATTTATGTACATAACTGGCCCTTAATATCCCATGCCACTGAATGAATCATAGCTGGCTGCGCCACAACATTTTACAATTTAGGATTCACATTATCGTTTCATTCCAGATTAGAATAAATGCAGATTAATTCAGATTCGTTGCACTCTAAAGTTTTCCTCACATTGAAGGGTTCATTGAACTCCGATGGTCAAAAAATATCAAATTGGAAGGTACATAGCTTTTATTAATTAAGATAAATAGCAGATGGCAATATTATTTAAAGTTTAGAACAACAACATGCTGTTCATGTAGATTCTCTGAAGAAGAAAAAAGATTGAAATGGCCAACAAGAAGGGATATAAGCTGGTTTCCCTGTGAACATAGTGTCCTGCACCAACGCACGAGAACTTACAGGATAAGAGGGTCAAACAGCATATCTTGGTGAATCTAAAGTTGTGTCTCTTTATGCAAGTAAAGTAATCCATTAGGACTTTCACTAATGTCTAGAAAAGCACACGGGGTTGCTCATCTGATGAAATTGAACATATATAAACTCGTTTCAATAAACTAAAATGAGCATTTAAAAAATATATATTCTATGACGGAGTTGAATAACACCCTTAAACACGTAACAGTTTAATACCATATTAAAGACATTTCGGGTGAAATTTGGTCATTTTCATTCACTCTATATATCACCAATTAAGTCCCACACACAACATGTTCAAGAAGATAGGCACATTTTTTATGTTATCCTCAAAACCATCTGTAATACATTAATTTGGGCAAAGTGACCCATGCTGATAAAATATACTTTTTTAACTTGGGTCCCATGCATTTAAAATTATATGCATGTAAAATAAAATAAATGAACGTTTGTAATTTAAAATTTTAGTCAGTATAACAGCCATCATAATTCTGAATAGATTTCTAATACGATTAGATCAAAATTAGCAGAACATTTCAAGGCTCTAGTTTAAAGAAATGTAATGGATATTTAAAAACCAGTCGAGAGTTATTTTTTGGAATCCACATTTTGAAGTGTCACAGAGAACTGACAATGTGGTTGTGTTTGAAGAAATAAGTAGGGATCTCTTGCTTTTTATTTCAAGAAATTCTGATACGTTCAGGTGTTCCACTTCTGAATTATTGGTCCAGCTGACATGGAATTTTCCTTTTGTATGAATTTTGTTGTGGACAATTTGCATCATACGAGTCATTCCAATGAATAATCCCACCAATTGATGCAGGTGACATAACCGCCGGTTGCTAATCAAGAAACATTTATTCACATTTAACAGTAGCCACTCAAGATTCATACCTTTATTCTTCCAATGGGATATTGTTAATTCAACCTAAAATAATGCTCATTTGTAACGAAAATGCCGATATAGTTATTTTTATACAAAGCCAGCATATGACATTTAACCATGATAACATATCACTTAATTTAACAAAATTAAAATATGAAAAAAACGTTGAGTTACTCAAAGACATTCAAATGTCCGCCACTTAAATGTGTTAAATATCACTAATGTTAATTGTGAAATGCAGGATGAGTGCATGGGAGGTTCATTTGCCTGCCCCGTCCTATAAAAATGATAGGATGCCTTAAACGTATCACATCCAGAGCTCCTACCCTTGCACGCTGGTTTATTTGGCAAGAGGCATTAACTGGGCTACTGAACTGTGGGTGGATCTGACGAGGAATTAACACCAAATGCTTGCCTGGCCACTCTCCGAAGAACAATTTTATTGCAGCACCAATCTTGGGTCCAGATCAGCCCTGCCTATCTTGTGTTCTAATCTCGTCTCAAACAATAGATAACACGCAGTGTTCCAAGGGTGCACGGTGATGCTAATACTGATAAGATGTATTCCGTGTACAAGCACAATTACAGGGGAAGTTTTATATGATGTTGTTAAGAAGAAAAATAAGTATACATATGAAGGGATAAGGGAGGTAGTATGGAGTCACGAACAGTAATGTCACTCTACTCACCTGACCAAGGCCCCATTGCATGGGATTTGGGTTCGGATTTCCCACTGCGCTTGTGCAGCCCGGCGGAGGCACTCCTGGTGGCATCCCCACACCTCCACCCCCAACACCGACACCAGAAATTGCTTGGGCAGAGTACACTCCAGCAGGTCCCGGGAACGCCATGCCTGGCTGGCCGTAACCAAAAACACCTGCAAAAAATAATAATTAAATTGTCACAGATAACAATGCCATAAGCTCCACCCCATTGTTTTTTTTTATGCTGTCCAAATAGGGCGTGTGAGAAGAGTAATTATTTTACGTACGTGCCCCCATGTTCAAGTGAGTTGTGCATGGTTCTTCATTTCTATTGGCAGCCCCTAAACTGGTTGTGGAAAATCCATGATTCTATGCCAAGAACCAATAGCTCCATAGGATAACCACTGTGAAATTTCCCAGAAACATGGTACAATGAATCCTCTCAAATCCTGATATTGGGATATGCCGGAAAGGTTCGTAAAAAAAAATCATTCAAATATCCACTTTTTACTCATTAATATGATGAGAGGCCGCAATGGAAGAAACACAAAAGAACTGTCAATCTCCCTCGGCCTGGGGCTCCATGCGTCATCTGGTCCAACCCATATGAGACTAGGCTCGAAGGAAAGCTGTCTCGGGTGTGGACCAATCAACTTCAAGGACAGTGCACATTATCAGAGTTATGTTCTTTTGTTTGTATTATGACTGCAGGTATTGCGGTCTATGCAAACATGACTCCTTGCAAAAAGGTGTCAGTTTTGTTGCCAGATAGAAGGGTAAAGAACCAATTATCATGTTGTGACTTGCAGAGCGCATGGTAGATGGGTGCAATCAGTAAGTCCGTGACATTGGGCTTGAATTCACTGCGAGATTGATCAAATTTACTTTCAAATGTACCTAATTTATAAGCCTTCCACAATTGAAAAGGTGATGATGGTAAGTGAGTCAGAATAAACTGTAGGAACATGTGCAATGTTTTTACTGTGAATTGTAAATCGTAGTTTAGTGTTTTGGTAATAGTTATTCCATGAAAATTAAATATAATAGTTTAGAATTAATTAAATGTAGCATGTCAATGTTTAAAAAATAATTGTATATTGGACTATCCGAAGCGTCATAAATCCCTTGCCCTTATTTCGTTTGACTACGAGACATTTTCATCATTATCAGCCAACATCAATCAACTGTTGGATCAAGACCTCCGCAGGCCACTGCCACTTTCCACTGCACACCCAACACTAACAGCAGGTATTACCGTACCTCACTTTTTTTCATTCCTCGATAAGTGAAAATCGGAGTTGACCACCGAGTGGAATTTGAACGTATGACCCCCAAACGTGAGTCAAATCCATTATAATCAACCGACTGATTTGTAGGTGGTAAAAATAATTACTTGTAGACACCACCCAGTCATGCATGTGCATTCAACCACTCACCCTGAGAGTTGACAGCAGCTGTGGCGGGCGGGGGGGGCTGGGACGCGTACAGCGACAGGATGGAGTCTTTGCTCAGCTGGCGCTTCACTGCATCGTCGGCACTTGATGCTGGGCTAGCGTCTGCTTCCGCCTGCACACGGAGGGGTATTCGGCGAGCTTCTCATAGAGCCAGTTCTCGCATGGAGTAACGTGCATGAAACTTCAAGGAAAATTATAAAATTGCACTCGTCTGGTGTGGAGTGGATGTTAAGTAATAACTTCAACCTGTGACGCGAACAGTATTCGTTCACTCTCGTAGAGAAAGAACGACTCGGGGACACAGGGAATCACATACGAGCAAGCAGGAAGGCAGCCACGCAATTAGCCGCCACCAACAACTGCCAAAGTTCTGCGGGCCTGTATATATAAAGGTGTTTTCAGCTAATTAATGAGACACTTGCGTGGGGATCTCAGTAATAGGCCATTGTGTACCATGAAAATAAAATCTTTAAATCAATTACAAAAAATATATCTGAAGTCACCAGGATCTCCTTTGTAACAGGTATCATGGATCTCAAAGGGCTCTTATCTGGTTTAATAGTAAAATAATCAGTCAACTCTAATACGAAATACATTACTGTATTCTTGAATTATATTATGGAAATTGGTATTTTTGGTTTTGCTTTCCTTTGTCAATTCACTAAATAGAGACCCTCCCCCACACCATGTTTGTTGTGGAGTTAGTGTGCCCCTACTTCACCAGGCTGGTCAGTATGGGTTGATGTGATGGGGGTGCAGATGGTCAGGGGTGGGGGCGGATGGTAGGGGGTGGGGGCGGATGGTAGGGGGTGGGAGCGGATGGTAGGGGGTGCTCCCAGGATAGGTTCAGATTTCATTCGCCACTGACACCAGGTTCACAGTGGAAGTGCGCTAACCACTGTGCCACCACTCTCCCCACTAGCATGATAGTCATTCATGAATACTAGGCTGTGCAGCACTGTACAAGTGGATCTATTATTTCATTTAACATTATAATTTTTGTGTTACAATAAGATCATCACTATAAGCACATGTACCACTACCATGTTTGTCATCTCCAACCCTGTAACCAGTCCCCCCCCCCCATCAATCTACAATCATCACCATCAACCATACATAAATATTTAAAAATAAACCCCAGCAAAAAAAAACTACTTAACATGCTATGGAGAAAATCACACGAGCAAACGTATAATTATAAACGCCTGAACTCCTCAACCATGAGCTGTTGCTCATTTTGGGTTATGCATATATAATCATGAATATGGAGTTAATGAGCTCTATACATTTGTGTGCATGCGTGTGCTTGCAATCGTTTGGGTGACATGCATCACTGCCTTCTTGGAAAGCTAATCTAAAGAAGCGCTCGGAGAAAATGTGACGATTATCTTTGCACGAAGAACCACACGTGCGTGTGTGTGCGTTGTATCCTTTCACGTGCCAGGAGCATAGTAAGTAGCACACGCCAGCTTTGAATTTTGGGAAAATTTCAATGCAGCGTGCTCCCCCCACCCCCCCTCCAGGGTTTGCGAAGAAAGCATGCGAAGTAAAGAGGTAAATAAATAAACAAGCACCGTACATTTAATTCAATACGTGTTGGCACTGGGTTACATTACCCTCGTGTCTAGTGAAAACCTTAACAACGTCAACTAAGATCTGTACTGCCAAACATATGTACTGTCGTCACAGGACGTCCATGAGCCTAACAGTGCATTGGGCCCTTCCTGCTGAAATAGATACAATCTAAATCTAACTCGGCTTGATAGGAAAACCTGATTGACGCCTTCCCCCTGGTCACCTCAATTTACTTACCCAACGCAGCCGAAACTTAGTACAAGATTGCAGGCAAACAGAGCTTGCAGTGGGCGACCGCTGAAAGCCTCCACCAGGCAGAATACACTTAAACTCGGTTGCTTATGAGTGTCTCCTTCGTGGACGCATGGCGAGTGGTGGTGATGGGCCACGGTTTGGGGAGAATGTAGCGTCTGTTTCAGGGTCGCTGTAGATTGCATCACCATACATACGGCAGCACGAACAGGCGTGCGCGTGTTCGTCTCACAAGTTGCACGCATTTGCTCTGGCAGCAGGGAGTTAAGCTAACCGCACGGCATAGTGAGTAGGGCCGTATATCTATGTCATGGTCACGTAGAGGAGACTTTCCTGGATTTGCTGCTGCACAGCAACTAAAAACGTGCACACTCCCCTCGCAGAGACAATTAAGTGAAAATGTCAATAAGATGTGTGCGACCACCGTTACGTTCTGAACTGACGGTCGTTTTTAATTAACAGCAAACACAATGGAAGTGCGTGTGAGCTTGTGTGCATTACAACTGGGAGATTTTCACAATTTATAGCCTGAAATTACAACTCTATTTTTGGAATCTAATACATTTCTGAGCAGGACTATGTGATTGACATAATTGTAGAATTACGGTTTGGTCCTGGCATGGCATTCTGCATGGAGCCTAAGCAAGAGGGCAGAGACTGTGGGGTCAGGCAAGAGGTCAAGGGCTGTGGGGTCTGGCCATCCAAAGTGGAATTTGCAATGGAAATATAAAGCATCAGCTATTGGATTCAATGTAGCAACCCAGTACTGACCAGAATCGACATTGAAGCGTATTACACAGTCATCTCAGGATGACCACCCAGTCAACCGGCACCATCCTGACTGACCACTAAGAACACTGGGATCAGGGGACTACCACTGGGGTCATCAAGACTACCAGTGGAACTACTCGGACTTACAACTGAGACCAGCTGCTACGACCACTCGGCCGACCTGCCAAGGACAAGCATGCAGAATTGGCCCGATTCCCCCAATAATGCAGAGTGATATTCAATCAGGATGACCTAGGCTAAAAAGGGAACAACCAACTATCTAACTGAGTATATGGGACAGCTACAAGTATATCAAGCCTTCGCTCTAGCTGTTCCATGGATCCCCGGCCGAGAATGGGTATTGGTAAGGACTGCGCCCGGGCCAGCCTACAATAGACAGTCGAGGCCCCATGGGCCAACGCCTTCTTGCCTGAATGCCTTGCTGGAATTGGGGTGGAATCGGGCCAAGTCCACACGCTATGAATACGCAATGCATTTCTACTGCGAATTCTAGCTGCACGATTCAGGCTGAATTTCCATTCTGGCTGGCTGGACGTGGCGAAACTGAGCCAAGCTAAGCTGTACATAGCCGTGGCTTAGCCGAGCTAGATTTGCAAATGTAAGTGATAAAGAATTAATTCATTTTACACATTTTTCATGGCAGAATCCCTGCTAGAATCATATTCAAATTCATGTAGATTTCAAGGTGGGAATCACAATGTCTCCAGTCATTTTATAAGGTTACTGTCGTATGGCAATAATTCAATGCATCGTATACGGTGTATGATAATCACATATTTTGAAAAATATCATGATGAATTCATTATGGAAGCTCGTATATTTTTTCCCAGTAATTGGTTTATTAATTAATTATTTTTTAACTCACGAAAGCACAACAAAGTTAGTGCTTTGCAAAATGTTTTCCAGAGTAATTGATGGGAATGGTGGTTAAATTACCTCATCATATCCACAGTGCAGGTAATTATTTGATTAATTCCAGCATAACTCACAGCTTGTGTGTTGAACGCTCTATAGCTTGTAAAGTTGCAGTAATTTAAATACTCAGGGTAAGCTTTCTTTGAGCGAACTAAAGTAGAAAACCTTTCAATAATCTTTATTTGTACTGGAAGTACAACAGAGCGCAAAAATTAGAACATAAAATTGTGAAATATAATTATTGTTATGAGAAACTGATTTCGTGATCATCGTCGTATTGTGAAAATTAATATCATGCCGTGGAGAACGATGATTGTATTGTGAAAAAACCTAGTGGAATCCTAGGAATTGGATATGATTCCCCAGCCCTAGTACACCTTATGCAGCTAAATTCCTGGCACACCCGGGATAAACAATAAAACCCCATTCAGTAAGTGAAAATTCATCATTCATAAATTAAATACACAGACAGACATGAGAGTGCTTTTGGAATAGGCACGGCAATAAAAAAATATGCACGTGCATTATCCAGGATATGGACTGCATTGCCTTCAGTTCAGGCTAGGAAGTATAACTCCATCGAAAGTTTTGGGCTTTCATTAGCAACTCAGCCCTGTGGGGTTTGGCATAACAGGTACCAAAGATGAATTCAAATGCCAGAATTGCCCGGGCAGACGAGCAATATCATCAAAGCAATTTGGATGCGAGCAGACATCCATCTTTCTTGCTCAAAGCACCGAGATCTGTGTCAAAGACAGATGGCCAATATCTTTTACAATGACGGGGAAAAGTGTGCGGAGCCCACGTGGGATAGGGTCAGGAGCTCAGCAGGGGATTTTGAAATGGAAAGCCTCATCATGCAGTGGAGAACACTGGATCGTGGAAACATCAAACCCGAGTATTGACATGGATTTGAAGCTTTTACACGCGATTAATTACGTTTAAATTTTTAATAATGGGCATTTGTTTTCTATGAACATTAAAGTACAATATTGAACAAAAAGCAGTATTTTATAAATAAGCGTTTTCACTGGCATCCTATTCGACGTAAAAAAGAAACATTAATACACAAGATAATATTTCAAGAGACTGTATAATATTAAGCAAGGAATAAAACACGGAGGGTGCATCTTGAATATTACTTGATACCATGCGAACACGTAAATAAAGGTGAGTTCAAATGTATGGTTATATATAATGTTTGACTCAGTCCCTTCACGATCCAAAGTTTGTTAAGAATCAGAATCCTCACGACCTCTCGGAATAACCCCCCTCAGGGTGAGCACCGAGCACCAGAAAGTTCCCCTCCTCCTTCGTGGTTTTTCTGTCCGCCCCTCTTACCCAGAAACCACTGGGTGCTGCTTTGCACCTGGCTTGTGTGCTTACTTCAATGAAAACAATCGTTACATAATCCTTAACTTTTGATTTAAAGCTTTCGTGACTGCAGGGATTCATATTCTTGGTTCTTTCGGTAAAGTCACGTAGAAGGGAAATAATAAAATAATAAAAATATAAAACAATAAAAATTCTCACGACGTTTCGACTGCAAAACAAACAATCATCATCAGGTGTGAAATG